ATAAACAAATAAAATTGAATTACAGATAAAAAATTAAATAAAATTTGATTATTAATATTAATAAAATTTATTATTTTATATATCTGCATTGCATATTCTAAATATGAATAGAAAAAATAAATTTATCAATATCTTTATTAATATAAAAATATTTTATATTAATATATTAATGCATTTAATAATATAATATAATATAAAATTTTTTTTACAAAATTTAAAAAATTTAAAAAGAAAAAAAATAACTTTTTAAAATATTGTATTATATAAGTTTATTATAAATTAACCAATATTATTACTTAATTTATTAATAAATGTATTAATAAAAATATAAACAAAAAACAATTAATAAACATATAAATAAATATAAATATACACAAAAAAATTTTTTTTAACAGCCTTTAATAATTATTTATTTAAATACAAAAAATATATTTTTTATATAAATATAATTTTTATATAAATAACTTATATATATTTATAAAAAATATACATTATAATATTTTAATTTTTTTTATTTAAATCTAATACTATATTTAGTTATATTTATTCAATTTATTTAAATTATATTCAATTATTGTAAATATATTATTATTTTAATTATTTCAAATATTATTTTATTATTTTATTTAAATTTTGATCACATGATTTTGTTCATATCCGATAATTCGACTCAATGAAAATAATTTTATTACTTAGATGAAGTTATTATATATACAGACAAAAGGATATCATATAAAAAAACATATACATTATTCACTGAATCAACTTATTATATATAGGTGAAATAAATATATAAAAAAATTATATATAAAAGAATAATTAAAAAATTTAAAATAGAAATATGAAATAAAAATGCACATTTTAAATAACAATGTCAATCAATATTCTATTCACATTTTGCTAACCAATAATTAAAATTGTATTATTGTATATCATTCTACTGACATATATTATTGTATCTTGAAAATTTTAAAAATACTCTCTTGGAAAAAAAATATTTCTAACATATTTTTTATATATGTCCTTTAATAACATTTAAATTTAATATAAAATTTTGTTGTATTATTATAATTAGAAGAGATATTTATAAAAGATAATTTATTTAAATGAAATAAATAATCTTTATAAATAAAATAATGTTTTGTAAAAAAATAAAATATAATAATTTTTTAGGAAAATTATTATATTCATATTTATATTACAATAAATATATATTTTTTTTAAATCCACCGGTAAAATTTACGTGATATTTCCGTTAATGAAAGTTAGTTCTCTTCCGGTTATACAGTTTATTGGGTAAGATGGGTAAGTGATCGGTGTTAAAATTATATTGTTTTTAGAAATCTAAATTTTCATCATTAAATATTTATTATCCTTATTGATTATTTAATGCTCTCAATTATAATTTTCTTAAGTTATTTAATAAAAAATTCTTAACTAATTTATTTTAAATTATATTGAATGTAATGTTGCATATGTGTGTGAAATTAATTAAATTTTTCATGGAATTAATGTTTTATTTTTTATAATTTATAATATTTCTTATCTTTTATAATGAGAATTACAGTAAATTAAAGCAGTAAATTAAAATTAAAAGAAAATTAAATAGTATTAAATAAAAATTATCTATAACCTAACTTTTTATAGGTAAACCGCGTGGTCTTCGTACTGCACGTAAACATGTAAATCACAGACGCGATCAACGTTGGAACGATAAAGATTATAAAAAAGCTCATTTAGGTACAAGGTGGAAGGCCAATCCATTCGGTGGTGCTTCTCATGCAAAGGGTATCGTATTAGAAAAAGTGTATGTATATTTATATTAATATTTTTTTTATATTTGAAATGTTTTTGTAAATATTCTTATTAAATGTTATTCTTTTAGTGGTGTAGAAGCGAAGCAACCAAATTCTGCTATCCGTAAATGTGTACGAGTACAATTGATTAAAAATGGCAAAAAAATTACAGCTTTTGTACCTAGAGATGGCTGTTTAAATAATATCGAGGAAAATGATGAAGTTTTAGTTGCAGGATTTGGTCGTAAAGGTCATGCTGTAGGTGATATTCCAGGAGTTCGATTCAAAGTAGTGAAAGTTGCTAATGTTTCGTTACTTGCACTCTATAAAGAAAAGAAAGAGCGACCTAGATCATAGAATCATTGTCATGTATTTCTAATAAATCTATATAAAAGTTTTTAAATAAATTAGTATATTATTATTATACCTATAAATATTTTATTTTAATGAAATTACATAAAATATAAATTTAGAAATTCATTTAAAGAACATTTCAGAAAATTAGTATTACAAATTAATTTTCCAGTTTAATATTTATAGCTTCTTCAGTATTTCTTACAGTATTTTCAATAATTTCACTTAATGGAGTATTTGATTTCTTTATTTCTTTTGGTATATTAGTCTCCAATATTTCTTTCCTTGCTTGTAGAAACTAAACATTAATTTATTATGTTTAGTACATTATATATAATTTTATAAATTAATGTTAATATTAATAAATATAAAAATATAAACCTGTGTTAAAGAAGAAAAATTTGTATATATATCATTAATATCAGTATCCATGGAATATATATTATTTTTTACATTTTTTTCATCAAAAATTGATTTACATGATTCAATTGATGAGAATGTCTCTATAAATTTTTTTTTCTCTTCATTAAATAATAAATCTTGATCAACTTTATTATTTTCCTTATTTTCATCCTATATTTTTTATATTTTGATATATTATTTTAACATAAAAGATATATAAAAATTCAGGCAAATAAAAATATAAAATTTAAAAGATGATTCTAGAAATTAAAACAAACATAAATATTCATACAAAAATATCTATTGAAGCTTACTTTTCAAAAGTTATAAATAATTTAATTATATATTAGATGAAGTGAGATAATCTATTTCCTAACATTTTTGTATATCAATTTTTGTGTTTGTTTTATTTAATTTATATTAATTAATTAATAAATTCTGTATATATATTAATATTCTGTATCATATAATATATAATGCAATCAACAAAGATGATTTTAATATAAATTATTAAATTAATTTATAAATCATAGAAACGAATAGTACGTTTAAAAATTTGAAAATAGATATATTAAAATTAAATATATGCATATTTACTTGATTTTCTTGAAACGCAAATAAAAAATGTATTAAATATATTATAATATAATAATATATATTATATGTAATATAAAATATACTTTTAACTTACTTTTTCATAAAAAATCATTTCTGCTTCAGTTATATTCCAGTTACATATTGCTTCACATGGATTATGTTCCATTAAATATTCTTTGTTTTCAGATTTATAAGTTGATAATAAATCTTGATGTTCATTCAAACATTTTTGTAAATTCTCAAAATATTCTATAGACTCAGAATAATTTAATTGGGGTTCAATATTATATGTAAATGTATTTGAATCTTCAATTATATAAACCTGACATAAAAATATATATATAAGTGTGTAAATATTACATATAATAAACATATGATATATAAAGCATAACAATAAATTTTCAAAAATGATTCATAATATTTAAAAAATACATGAAAACATATTTTATAAAATATACAATATACAAAAAATCTAAAATATATTGGAAAATATTAAATTTTTCAACATTTTACATATACATATATAGATTGCTATATATGTATATAGATTCAACTTAAAAACATATAGGATTTTATTTAAAAATAATAAGTGCTATTTTTGTTTTAGAAATTATGTCTAAAAAACTTATTATATTGTAAATAATTGTTCTTCTTATATTATTTAAAGAAAAAGAACTACATAAATACATATATTAATTTCGAAGATATATAACTTATTATGCTATATATATCTCATTTAATATATATAAATCTAAATTATATATTTATTTTTCAAATATTTATTTATTACATTTAATATATCATCAGTTGATTTTTTTATATCATGATTAATTTCAGAAGATTCTATGAATATACTCTTTATAAAATCTAATAATAATCTTAAAGTTGGAATTTGTTTTTCCAATGAACAATTTCCCTGCAAATAAGTATAAATTTATTTTATACAAATAACATAAAAAATTAAAAAATAATATAAGGAATTGAATAATATTACAAACCAATAATAATTTCTTATTACTGCAAATACCAATTTCAGAATAAGATATTAACAATTCTTCTGTAAAAAATGAAAATGATCAATAATTCTTTTGCAAAAAAAATCTTATGTATTATAATGTATAAAATATTAAATATTATACAATTATAACAAACCTTCTAAAGCAGTGCCTTTTAATTTTTGTAATTTTACAGCTGTCGCAGGAGATTTTTCAGCCAAAAGCCAAGACAATAACGAAAGTCGATTTTCTCCACTAAGAATTGTTAATTCTAAATTTTTTATTGATGCTGTTGTAATTTTTGGATATCTTATTTGTACTAAAATGTTATAAAAATCGGTCATAAGTTCTTCTATATTACTCATTATTATAAACACAATATGCTAATCTTTATTTTATTATATATAAATTATATTTTATATCTCATTTATTTTATTTTTGAATTTTTTAATATATATCTTTTTATAATAACTTATAATAACACAAATTAAATAAAAGAACACATAGTTACAATTCAAAGTAAATTACTTATACATAATAACTAATATAACTAACTAATATAAATGTATAATATGTATAAAATTACATATATTTTAGTACTATGTGTTGCCAGTAAGTTGGCAATGAAAAGAATATGGATTTGGTTGGTCAATTTTTATAAATCTAAAATAATTATAAAAATAAGCACGTATATTTCACATTATATCAATAAAATTGTATCACAAAAAAACAAATTTTATAAGAATTAGGACTTTACTAAAAAAATTTTAAATTTTTATATTTTTTTATAGTACTTTTAAATATATCAAAAAAAATGCATAAAGAAAGTGATACGATAATAACACCAAATATTATATTTTGTTACAAAGTATAAAATTTTATTGTCATATTACTTAAGTATACAATTAAATAATGATTATTAAATTTATGTATAATTAATATTAGCTATATAATTCCTTATAACTATAAAATTTAATCAATATCCAATAGTCAGAAAATATTGCTTTCTGTTTGTAAAATATTTTTGAAAAATTATGATACAAAATATATTTTTTTTAATTTGTACTTTTGTCCAGTTTTAATATAGTACACTATTGTTGACATCGATGATGCTGATAACATTACAATTAATCCAGCAATCTATTTGAAGAAAATAAATCAAATTTTTAAAACATTTTGTATAATATATATTAAATATTAAAAATATATAAATACAATGTAAATACCTTGGCTTTTTGACAAATTCATCACATTTTTCTCTTTCTTCTTCTATATTTTCCACAAATAATGTACGATTCAACTAAAAATAAAAGAAAAATGTATAATAATCATATATACTTTATAATGTAATTTTAAATAATAATCATTATAATTAATTATAAATTTACATTTTTTTTATCTCTATTTTGACAATGTTCTAAAGTACATTTACAATTATTGCCACATATAGCTTTTCTTTTACGACATTTGCAAATACGTGTAGCACAAGTTGTTTTACAATTACATTTTATATCACCATTTAATGTTTCTTTCAGTGACATATCTTCAAATGGCAAATTTCTCGTTGTATTCTGAAAAAAATTATATTATTATTCACGATTAAATAATTGGAAGAATATTGAGAAAAATATGCTTAATCAATGAATTACTATAAGACTTTGTACGCGATTGTAAAGTGGCGTTCGTTTCCAATCTGGATCTTTTTCAATATCATCATCCTCTTCATTAATACTATCATCTGTTAAAGGAAACTCTTCTATCTCTACTTTTCTTACTGTTTTTGGTTTCATATTTTCTTTATTTTGTATTTTATTTGACAGCTGAAAAATTCCAAAAAAACAATAATAAAACAATTATGATATTTTCATTGATTTAATAATAAAATTGAAAGCAATATTATATATAATATTAACTGTTTGTTCAAGCTTTTGACATTTTTCTTTGTAAAACTCCAATTCTTCTCTTAATTTATTGTTATCTTTATTTTCATATTCTTCAATATTATGTGTATCATTTAGTACAAGTTGCTTTTGCATGCATTCTTCTTTCTGCCTAATGCCATAATATTCATCCATCTGTGCTTGCAACAATTCATACTTTTCCTAAAATTATATTTATTATTATAAAATTATAATGAAAAACATATAACAAAAAGTAAATTGAAAAATAAATTATATATTATTATACAAAGAATTAAATTTTTTTTCACATATATTTTACTATTTACTATAATATATACTATATACTATATTTTACTATTTACTATATATGTACAAACCATAAATTCAGATTCTTTTATACATTGCTTTCTTCTATCCTCTTCAATATATTTAAATAATAATTTCAAAGTAATTTTTGCTTCTTCTATCGAATGTATTTTTTGCCACCTTAGATGTGATCTATTTTCTAAATCAATAAATATTTATATAAAAGCATCCCCATAATTTATTATGATTAATAATTATAAAAATAAATATATATTATATATTTAGTATATAGAATACTTACCTTGATCAGATTCAATTACTTTTTGTTGAAGATCAGTAATTTGTGTATTACGTAAATTTAAAAATTCATTAAGTTTAGCAATTTTTGTTTCATTTATATCATTACTATTTTTAAATCTTTCTAACATAGATGTTAATGATGCTCTATCTTGCATTAGTTTTTCAAGAGAATATTCTGCATCAATAGTGCTTATTAATATTTCTATTTCCTGAGTCAACCAACTTTTGATTTTTTCAGTGTTAGTACTATTCATTTTTTCTTTTCTCATAATTGTTTTTTTTGTAAATCGAGTGCTTCCTAAAAGTAATAATAAAAAACAAAATTAATCTTTAAACTTTAATTAAATTATAGCAAACATTTTATTTAATTTATTACTTTTAATCTTTTATTAACAGCAAAAGCTTCTTCCATTTTTCTTTTAAATACAATCTCTTGTTTATTATGCCACATTTTTAAACGTGTCACTTCGTTTACTTGTTTTCTATTTTGATCTTTTAATCTGTTTAATTCTTTGTTCTTTGATTCTTTCCATTTTGTAAATTTATCAGATTCATTGCGCATTTGTCTAATTAATTTCACTCTTGTTTGTTTTAATAATTGCATTTCATTTGTTAGATTTTTTATTTGTTGATCTTGTTTATCTTTCATTTTGACTATTTTATCTTGTTCTGTTACCTTCCGTCTTAATTCTGTTATCTTCTTTTCTAATTCTTGTACCTTTTTACGTCTACTTTCTGCCAATCTACAAAATATATAATTAAAATATAAATTTCAAAATTTAAAAAATAATACTAATTATCATGATGGAATAATAAACTATAATTTTGATATTTAATTAAATTTCATACTTTGAGCTAACATTATTTGTTTGTACATTTTGTAGTGCTTGTAAAAGTTCTTCCTTTTCTGCCTGAAGTGCTTTTATTTCCTGCTCCATTTCTTGTATTCTTTAGAATAATCGACGATTTGAGATGAGTTTTTTAAAAGCTGACATATAAGACTTTCCTTAATAGCAAGCTCCTTATTGATATTTTGTACTTCATTGTTCTTTTCACTTGAAGCAAAGTATGTTCTTCTTGTTTTTCATCAAAATCATCTAAACTATCTGGAGAACATATTTCCTCCGTAGATACATGTTCTATATTTTCTTCGTGATTTATTGTAAATGTATTTGCATTAACGGACGTTATTCCATAATTTATAAGTTCTTCTGATGTCTTTTTCTGATCATTTTGAATATCTATTTATTATAAATAAAAATATTTTATTTTAAATATTTTATATTATTAATTTATTATATTAACTTATTTTTTCATTGTATCAAATAATTAAGATATTTTATAATAAATAAAACTATCATTAGATAAAAATATCTTTTGCAATTTTATTACAATAATTCAACTAATATAATGAAAGAAATAGAATCTATATTCTAAATAAAATCGGTTAAAAAATAATAGAATTTTATAATTGTTCAGGAAAATTATTGTAAGCTATGACATATAATTTTTTTAACAAGTTTAATTGTTATAAATAAAATGAGATGATAAAAAATAAAAATTTAATTTTAATTTTCAAATCTAGTTTTTCAATTTTAAATATCTTGATTAAATATCTTTTTTAAATATCAACAAACCAATGTATAGAATTATTTATATAAGTTGTAATATATATTTTTTTATATTTTGTATATGTTAAAGAAAAAGTTATTACCAAGAATTTTTAAATACAAAACTTCTAATCTTGTACGATATTCATGCTTTTCAAGATTTTTATCAAGATCATTTAAAAGTTCTTTACATTCTTCTAATATCTTTATCATATCAGTCTGAATTTTTTCTCTTGCTTGCTCAGCTAATTCTGCTCTCTCATGCATAGTTACAGCTTCAATTAAGTTACTATTTAACTTTTCTGTTAAATCTCTTATTTTTTTTTGCAAACATTGATTTTTTGCTTCAAGTTCTTGATGTTCAATTGGACAAGAAATTTTAATTTCATGATCCACTAAAGCAACTTTTAATTCTTGTACTAATTTATTTAAGCGATTTATTTCTGAAATCTTTGGGTCTTGATTTACTATAGGTTTATTCTTTATTTTACATGCTCTATCTGCATACCTTAATGTACTCAAAGTTTCATCTAAATTATAATCTGAAAGTATTTCAAATAAAACACAAATACTAATATTAAAAATAAAATATATGTTATATTTATAACAACCTGCTGGGCTAACACATGCTATCATGAGAGTTATGGAATTACCACCCAAAGAATCTTGCAACAATCTTGTCAGTTTACTATCTCTATAACCAACATATGTTGCAGAACCACCTTCACCTAATTGAGAAATAACATTTCCCAATGCCAATAAACCTTTATTTATATTAACTCCTTCTTTAAATCTTTCACCAGTTGCTTGAGTCTTTTTACTACGTTCAGATCCAGCTAAATCTACTAAATGAAACTTTGCAGTTGTTGCTGTATTGCTAAATTATATTTACGAAAAAATAAAATATTAAAATATATATCATAAATGCATAAAAATTGAAATGTTATATTATAATTCCCAAATATATAATACTTACAGATCATCTTTTTGATGTTGATATATGCATAAAGTAAATATTGCGTGACTTCGACTACTGTTTGCATTCATTGCAGTTGCACCTGTTGCACGTCCTAAAGATCCTTGTGTTAAACAATTTAATGCTTGTATTGCATTTGTAACTTCTTTCTCCACTAGTCCAGTAATCTTTATATTTTTACCATCATCTCTAATATCAACAATAGATTGACTTCGTTGTTTATCAGTTAATAAATCATATAATTGTTCTTGATAAAGTTCCATAAATGAAACTGTAATTTTAAAATTCCAATCTTCTTTTGATGAAATTATATTAAATATATCATGTACTGCTCGTGGTATAATACCCATATCTTCTTTTTCAATATAATTTGTACCCATTGAATGAGTTTTACCACTACCTGTTTGACCATAAGCTAATATAGTAACATTATAGCCTATAAAAAAAATTTGTTGAAATACAATTATATTTGTTGAAACAATTATAATATTTTATGGAATTATTTTAATAATATAATTTTACCTTGAAAAATATTTTTTATCATATCTTTAATAGCAGTATCATAAAATTCTTCTTGACTAACGTCAGATGAAAATACATAATTAAATGTAAAAGTTTTAGCTGTATTACATACAATTATTTGTGGCTCACCAGGAACCACATCTAAACATGTTTGACAACCTCGTTCAATTTCAGTTTTTACTAATGGACGAATACGAACAGCAACTTTAACTGAATCTTCACTCATCTACATTGATATATATTTTTAAATAATTTACATAATTTTATTTTGGCTTTCATAAGATATATAGTTTTTATAAAATATTTTATAATTTGTTTATACAATAATATTTTTATAATTTTTTGTAATATATATTTATATAATTATTATTCAAATTCAAATTATTTTATTTTAAATTCTACATTATTTTATAATTTTTATAATATATTTATTTATATTGAAAACCTTAATTTTTAACAAGAATTATGTTATTACTATTATGCATTATTGTATATTATTTTCAAAAATTATATAATAAGAATATAAAATATATTATGAACAATTTCTTTTTTGAATATAAATTTAACAAATTATTTTTCTGATATTTTATTTCATTAAAAAAAATTATAACTATTACCTGATTCATTTTATAAGTATATAAATTACTTTGCAAGTTGGAGGTAATAATATTTAGTTACCTTTAGTTTATTCGTTGAAATTTTATATTTATATTTATATTATACTTTATTTTGTATAATAATAATAATAATAAATATAGATTTATAATTACTGATTTTTGAAACTCGTCCAACAACCGTTGTCAATATATTTGAAATTATGCGGTTTCGCATGAACTATATAGTTATATGTATGGTATGTGAATTTGAAATTGTTCAGTTTTTTAATTGGTTATTATTTGTTACATTAATATATTTTTATAAATTTTATCAGAGAAAGAAATTTTATTAATAAAATAAAAAGGAATTTTTTTTTAATAAAATAAAGTTAAATGAAAAAAATAAAAATCAAAAAGAAATAAAAAAATGTAAGTTAAAAAATAAAACGAAAAATTATTATTTAGTTTAAAAAGTTATGCTATAGTTTACTTAACCTTTCTAATTCATGTCATATTTTTTTTAAATATTTTAACAAAAATATATTAAGCAATAAATATACATTTATATATGCCTGATTCCGGCATTAAGATTTTAAGTGCGAAATTTTCATGTATGTATTTAACATAGTCATTACGTGTTAAGAGATTAATAAAATAACTATAATTATCTATAAGTATATTATTATATATACTTAATATATAATTAGAACATGCATAATTAAAAAATTAGAAATTTATATATCAGTCATTATAACATTTGGTTTGTGGTAGACTTTTGTACAATTATTAATTTATGGTTATATTTATGTTTACAATAAAAAGGTGCACGATAATTATACATTTAGAAAGCGAATAATTAAAAAATTGCTAATTTTTTATTTTTAAATCCATAGAAAAAATTCATAGAAATGATTTTTATAAAAAATAAATAATAATTTGGAAATCAGTAATTATAAATCTGTATTTGTTGTTATTGTTCATTATTATAATAATTGCAATGAATATTGCCTGATTATAATATCATGTAATTTAAATATTTTATGAAATCAATTTGCAATTGATATTTTTCTGCAGTTTTTGAATTTCCTACAATATGGCTTTTAAATCATTCTTTCATTTAGGCAATAATACGTGTAAATGGTAAGATAAATTTTTATATTTAAATTTTTATGTTCATCAATAATTTTAATTATATTAATTTATTATTTTTTCAGTGTTTTTATGTCTATACAATTTAAATCTAAATTATGTATTATTCAAGGATATACACAAGGGTATAGACAAATTAGAAATATTCATAAATTGAGAGGTAGAACAAAACTATCTATATCAAATGATTTTGTTAGTAGACAATCAGGCTATACCTCCAGTTTATGGAAACCATTTACTTTTACTGTTGTGGTAAAACATTAGTATAAAATAATATAAATATATAGTTAATTGACAAAATCTTTCTTTTTTTTATTAAAAACTTTTTATTTATTAAAAATTTTTATTTATTAAAAATTTGTTTTATTTAAATTTAATTATTTTAATATCATAAATTCTTCTTTTTTCGTTAATTTAGTTTAGTGCAACAACATTTATTGCTGCTGCAATTTGGGAATATGAACATATTAGAAAAAAAACCTATAGTATAATCAGAAATTACAAGCAATGGGGAATACATGTTTGTATATTGAAATTACATATAAAATTTTATACATAAATGAAAAATGATGTTCTTTACAGTTTATTATAAAATATTAATTTTATTTAGCGAACAGGATGGAGACACAAAATGGAAACTTGGTGGAGAAATTTGTCAGAAGGAGAAAGAATATTTGTTCCTATATGTTTCTTAAATGTGCTAGTATTTTTATCATGGCATATACCTGCATTTCGACCAACAATGTATCGATATTTTTGTAGCAATCCTACATCTAGTAAGTAATATAAAATATTTATTATAATATAGATTTTAAAAGTTATTTTAAATTTTATATTCTGATTAAGACCGATGTTGGCCAATGTTATTCGTAACATTTTCTCATTATTCCCTTCTTCATTTAATTATCAACATGTACGTATTATATGACTTCTGTAAAATTGCTGTTACGGAATTGGGTAGAGAACAATTTTTGGCCCTTTATTTGACTAGTGGAGTAGTATCTAGTTTTTCAAGTTATTTATATAAAGCTACAGTTGGTATAAAAGATCCTTCTTTGGGAGCTGTGAGTATTTATATTAAAAGTTATATATATAATGTTTTTATTCATACTAATAATTGCACTATAGTCAGGAGCAATAATGGGTGTCCTTGGATTTGTATGTACTCAGTTTCCAAATGTATATCTATCTATTGTTTTTCTTCCTATGTTGAAATTTACAGCAAGTTCGGTATGTTAATATATTAATAATTTTAATAATTTTATAAATAGGTTTAAGTTTTATGAAATAGGTTTAATAGATAATAATAGATTTTAATAAAAATATTTACAAAAAGGCCATTAAAGCTGTAATGGGACTAGATACTGTGGGATGTCTTATGCGTTGGCAACGTCTTGACCATGCTGCACATTTAGGTGGAGCATTATTTGGAATGTAAGCATCTATATTAAAAACTTATATGAATCTATATATTTCTTACTTTTGTTTATTATAGATTTTGGCAAATGTGGGGTAATGCCAACATATGGCAAAAACGTGAACCAGTATTAGTATTTTGGCACCAACTGCGTGAACCACCTAGGTCTCATTAATATCTATTTGTTATATATAATTGATATTAATATGTACTAATATATATTTTTAACATTATGAAAAGTTGTAAATTTATAAAAAGTGAAATTATATATAAAAAAAAAAATGAATTTTATTTTATAATTAATTTAGTATTAATATTATTAAAAATTAAAGAGTAAAAAAACAAAATAAGTGACAATATTAATGAATAATTTCTTTAATTAAAATCTTTTTAAAAAAAATTATAAAAATAAAATTATTTTGAAATAGTAAAATAAAATAATTTTATTAATTATTATTATTATTATTATTATTATTATTATATTTATTTTTATCATATAAAAATACCAAAATTTATTACATTATTCATATTATTCATTTATTTTTCAATATCAAAAACATTTAAAAAATAAGTACATATTAACATTTAAGATATTTTACATGATGTTTAATATGATCTTCTATGAATGTGGATATAAAAAAGTAGCTATGATCATAGCCCTCTTGAAATCTAAGAACTAATGATAATCCAGCATCTTTTGCAGCAGATAACAAATTTTCTGGCAATAATTGCCCATCTTTTAAAAACTTATCTTCTTTTCCCTAAAGTTATATATTACATTTATTTATTGTAAATTTTTCAACACAGTTATTTTTATTATACCTGATCAATCAAAATATCCAAAGGAGGCCCATTGTATTTTTTAACCAATTCTGTAGCATCCCAATCTTTCCATTCAACATTAGTTTCTGATCCACCCAAATAACCAGTAAAAGCTTTTTTTTCCCCATGGACATAAAACAGGATTACTTATTGGTGCAAAAGCAGATACAGTTTTGTATAAACCAGGATTTTTTAAAGCACATATTAAGGCTCCATGTCCACCCATACTATTATTAAAAATATTTACATAGATAAATTATTGTAAATATTATAATTTTTAAATGATTTATGAATAAAATAAATTAAAAATTATATTTTATATATATATAAAGATATGTATAATATATATATATATAAAAGATATATAAATAAATAAATAATTTTTCAATTTTTTTTCAATCTTTTAAAAATATATATAATTTATATAAAAATACTACTTTTTTAAATAAATTAAATTTTTAAAAGATATAAAATAAAACTAAATATAAATGTTCTTACTATTTAAGTGGATTTAATAATAATGATTCAATTTATATATTAATAAATACATTTAATCTTATATGAATTATATGATTTAGTTAAATAATTATCTTTTGTGTTACCTATGACCCATTATGGATTGTTTGTATGGTAAAACAGGAAATTTTTCATTAATCAAAGCTGGTAATTCTTTAGTAATATAACTGTACATTCTATAATTTTTTTTCCATGGTTCATTTGTTGCATCAATGTAAAATCCAGCACCAGTTCCAAAATCCCAATCATCATTTTCTCCAAGTATATTAAGATTACGAGGACTTGTATCAGGTGCAACTATGATAACACCTTGCTCAGAAGCATACTTTTGTGCACCTGCTTTTTGAATAAAATTAGCTTCTGTACATGTTAAACCAGATAACCAATAAATAACAGGTTGAGGTCCTTCTTCCACTTGGGGTGGAAGGAAAATTCCAAAATTCATTTTACATCCTAATTCATAGCTATATTAAAAAATTATTTAAGTAATCTTATTTAAACAACTTTGCATAATAAATAAAATTACAATACCTCTCATGCAAATAGACTTTTTGCCATCCGCTAAAAATTTTATTGCTAGAAACTTCGATAATATCTGGCATCTGAAAACATTTTCCAATATTAAAAATAATTAATTATTTATTTTTTAATTGCTTCTTATACTCTTTTTTTTAAATATTTTTTTTTTTCATTATTAAAAGGTTAGATATCATTAATAAAAAATGAAATAATTTGATATTTGAAATTTTGTATATTTAATGATAAAAGAATAAAAAAATTAATTATATTAAATTAATGAATCTTTTTTACTATTCTTCAATTAATATATTTAAAATATGAATTAAATATTATTTTAAATAATATACTCACTTTGTATCGCAAAATATTACGTAGAATATTTGTGATTTCTTATGAACTTTGAATAATTATGAGATTCGTGACATAATAAAAATATCAATTATATATTATCTAATAAATTGATAATAGTTTTTTCTGATACGTTTGTATTGAATTTATGTTATGTTTACATGTTATTTTAATAAGAGAAAGTAATATAACCTCAAAATAATTGGATTTATGACTATATATAAATTAAATGATTTTTATAATTTTAAAAAATTTATATTTCAATTAAAAATAATTTTATTATGACTTTATTTTTTTAATATCAATTAAAATTCTTATTTGTATGCTATTTTTGGCAAATATACATGATAAAATAAAATTAATATATAATATTCATAAAATTATATTAAAAAATTTTCTTTGTTAATTGTGCTTGTACAGAAGCTTTTACAGATAGCTGCTTTTGTTTTGTATTTCTTATTGTATTTCTTACTGGTAGAACTGAAATGTAATGATTTAAACAAATAATAAATTATATATAAATTAATTACAATATATTTTATGATACATATGTATAATAAATATATGTTTTTATAACATACTTTCAAATTCTGGTTGTATATTAACAATATGTCCAATACTTTCTTTAGATTCATAAATACTTTCACGATTTGTACTTTTTGGTAGACATTCTGATGAATTTGTATGACTATGGGAATGATTTGATAAAGATTGACTAAATAAAATTGCAGAAGGTAATTCTATATTTTGAGCTGCTAATAATTTTTTAATATAAGATTCAACTTCTACGTGAGAGATTGTAAATTCTGCAATATCTTGTAAAACAATGGAATTTTGTTCTTGAAGTTCACGTAGCTCAATCTCCTTCTATTAAATGTAAATAAATTAAAATAAGTTTAAAAAATATGTTAGATAATTTACAAACCTCTTGTATAAGAACATTATTGTCCCCTGTAGTTTCATATAATCGATGAATACTTTTTTTAGCATTTTGTAAATTTTTATCAGCTCTAGATATTTTTTCTTTTTGTTCATGAATTTGCTGCTTTAAGTCAGTTAAATATTGGGTTTTATTTTCTTTACATTCTTCAATTTCTTCTATGTCCTTAAGAATTTGTACATACTTATTTTGTATTTTCTATAAAAATTATTTTAAGATTTAATTTTTTATTATATTTTTTATTATATTATATTATTATATTTTTTATTATACAAAATTTTTTTTTATTATATGAAACTAAATACTATAAAATACCTGCATATTTTCAGTTAACAATTGTAATTCTTCTTTTTTTTGATTTAAATTTTGTTCAGCATCTTGTAATTCTTTATCCAATTTTTTATGTTCTTCTACTTCTGATATGTCTTGATCATTTGTACTTAATGTTACCTTATATTTGTCATTGCAAATATTTATCACACGTAATGTATTTTCCATAGCTTGTATTTCTTCTTCAGTTTTTCTTATTGTTTCATCTAATTTGTCACCTTGTTCTTGTAAAAGATATCTTTCTTGCGCATTTTGAATTTTCAAATGTGTAGTATTCATTGGAGTGCCATCAGGATTAGTACCTAATAATGCAGTAGAATTATCGTATCTTGCTTGTAATTGTTTTATCCGTATTTTTCTTTCAGCAATAGCATTTCTTAATTCTGAACATTCACCGTCTGCAACTCTTTTTTGAATATTTAAAGATTCTTTTTGCACTGTAATTTCTGCTTTTCGTTCTCGCACTGCCTAATAAATTTTACATTCTAAGTTAACATTTTTAATTGCAATATTTTTATTATTCCTATAAATAATATTTTATCAAAAACTTACTGCTTCTAATTCAAGTCTATATTTTTCCAAATCATAAACATTATTTCCAATGTTGAATATCATTTTTTCCATTTGAGATACTTTAAGTCGTAACATACTTTCTTCTACTTGTTTTTCCTCATAACGATTTTGAACAGCTTTTAATTCTTTTTCTCCTACATTCATAAGGAGAACAAGATTTTGCCTTTTATCTCTTAAGAATTCTAATTCACTATTACTACTTGTTAAATTGTTTGATATTTTTCTCATATTATCCTATATAGTAAAAAATAGATTCAGTGCATCTTAAATAAAATATAATTTAAATAAATAAATTAATTTTAAATTATATACTTCTAAAGATGTAATTTGTTTTTGCAATAGCTTAAACACATTCGTTTTTTCATCTAAATTATTCTGAAGCTCTTCTATCTTTTCTTGTTTTTTCTCACTTTTAGACTTATCATATTCGTGACCTCTCAATCTGTTCAATTTCATTTCATATTTTCGAATTTCAAATTGTGTTTGATACCATACTTCTTTTTTATCTTCCAAAATTTGTTCGTCTTTAATACATAATTTATCTAATAAATCACATTTTTTAAATTCTCTTTCAAGTTGCATTTTTAAAACTTTCTCTTCGTTTTCTAAATCTTTTATTTGAGTCATTGCGCGTAGATTTGTATTTTGTAGTCGATTTATTTCTTTAATTATTTTAGCTTTTTTTTTCTCTTGTTCCTATATTATATATATTTTAATATGTTATTTTACTTTATTCATAATAATAATATTTCATAATAATAAATAAATTATATATCATCAATAATTATATATCATAATAATAAATTATTATTTTTAATAATAAATACCTCTATCATATCCTCCAGTTCTTTTGCTTTTTCTTCAATATTCAATTTTTGACTTTTAATATTTTCTAACTTTGTTGTTAAAGCAGTTATTTGTTCGTTTGCTTTATCTATTTTTGTATTTTTAGTTTGAATTTGCAATTTCTTATGTTTTACGTCAGTTCTTACTTGTTCCATACGTTGGGTTAAATCTTTCATTATATTTTTTTGTATAAGAGACTAAAAGAGAAAAAATTTTAGAAAAATTCTAATTTTTTTCTAAAATAAAATTAAATTTTATCAGAGTATATTTTTAATATTCTTACCTGATTTTCATATGTATTAATAATTTCTTTCAGTTTAATTTGTTCTTCTTTCATAGAACCAAATTCTTTTTCTAATTTTTTAATTGAATCTTGAATTTGCTTATTATTC